ATCACCTATATTGGTCACTCTATTGGCGATTCTGACGTTTGTTTCGTCTCCTGAAGGGACTAGTAGCTGAGCGGTTGTCTTAAGAAAAGCATTTGGCAAGGCTCTAGCTGTTTTAGGTGTCTTCGATATGTGTCGATGACATCTCAAAACAGCCTCGTCTGGAACGCTGCTACTCCTAGACCACGGTGAGACACCTTATAGAGTGCCTTGCTTTCTCCTTATAAGCAGCAATTATTGGTGGTTTTTTTTTTCTGGAATATTTAAGCACATATTTTCATTAATTATGCCATTTTAATGAGTTTATAGCGGACGCCACTTTGAAATTTGATATTGAACTGCTGAAGATCGATCGCGACGCAGAGTTATGAGAGTGCCGAATCACTGTTGCTCGTGCTTCCATACAGTGCCAATTGTTACTGCTGCTGTTGTTACTGTCTTTCTGCTTTTTGAGAACTGTGTTGTTATGCAAGAAATGCAAATAGATAGTGAAGTAAGCGGGATGATATAACAAGTGAAAAAAAGGAAAGGATTTGGAATGTTATGAAACCAGAAAACAGGTCCTGCTTTCAGAAGATGCGCCTCGTTGCTTTCAGTATGTAGCAATAGATATGCCAACAATTCCAAGTGATGTTCAATTTGGATGTATTCTCGAAGGCACAGAAATGACTTTCACATCTTCGGCAATAACAGCTCCACGTGGACCGCTAATAACGTCACCTATTATCCATGCTGGAAAACCATCCAGCTCTTCCATGTCGCTGCACAGCTGCACTGCCTGAATAATTCGATATTTTACAAAAAGCGGTAGTGGTGACCACAACCGGTACTTCGGTTTTCCTCTTCTGAGTCAACGGGTTACAACAATACCAGACATTTTCGTGCCTTTTTCGGATGAGTACTGGCCAGCAATGAGCAGTCCGCGCTGGCTTTGAAATCTTTCAGGACTTTCTTCCCCCCTCCCTTTACCCTGATTGTTTTGGACGATTTTAATACTCGATGCTATAAAAGGAGACCATCCGTACTTCTTTCGGATTTTAAAGAACGAAAAGCGTGATTACTTTCTCCTTTTCAACTGCAATCAGAAGGCCGCCTGATGTTTCAGCTGATGTCCCAGTAAAGAGGTTAAAGCCGTTGCCCATTGCAGTAGAAATTTCGGCCATATATTCGATTATTGGTAAAGTGTGAAGAACGAACTGCACTTCTGCTTTCTGGGCCTTTGCCAGATTATCTGCGTGTCCTGCAAAAAAAAAAAAAAAAAAAAAAAAAAAGGG